CCACCCACCCGTTATTAATTCTCTTCCACCACCTAAAATTAAATTTTTTTTAAAAAAAATTTTTTTTGGGGGGGGTTTTTTTCCGGGAAAAAACTCGGTTGGTGGGTGTCTCTCAGCACACACACACACACACACACACACACACACACACACACACACACACGCGCGCGCGCGCGCGCACACACACACACACATGTAAAGTTGAAGTATACATTAAGACTAGAACTTTTGTAGTCACCAAACTTTGGCGGTCATTTTCTCGCAACTTTTACATCTGACTCTTGTAGGCGACGCGCTTTTCCCTTTCGTCAACCCGCAGCCACCTCCCGAATCGTCAGCCACCTCCCAACCTTTGACACGGGTCAAACTTCCATCTATTTATAGGTAGTTAAATCTACCGGAACATGTATTAGGCGAAGTGATGTGCAATGATAGTCGCAATTGAGAGATTGTTTTGGTCTCTCTTTACTCATCTGCACCACACGAATTTAATTGATGTTTTTCCCAGGACTCTGCCTTTACTATAGTCTCGAATTTAGATCTAAATCTAGTTGTAATCTAGTTGCAGGTTGCAGATTTAATAAATTGCGGACAGAGAGAGAGAGAGAGAGAGAGAGAGAGAGAGAGAGAGAGAGAGAGAGAGAGAGAGAGAGAGAGAGAGAGAGAAGGGGGAGGAGTATACCTTGCGAGAACTTCCGGGCAAAACAAAATGGCGACCCGCGTAGTTCGGCTCGATTCGAAAAGTGAAAAAGCCATAGCATCTTTGTAGACGATCAAATTAGCTTTCTTTTGTGCTATAACGTCGTTCTTTTTTCTTTGCTTTTGTCAATTTGAACATCCACACCGATAGAAAGTATTTCGAAATTAGGAAAAACAGGTCTTGTTTCACACTGGGTGAGAATAGCCAACGCTGGCAAGTCTCACCCGGGGTGAGAGGTCAATTGTAGGGTTTTTTAAAATTCTCACCCCGCGTGAGGATAGCCACTTCCTTACTTAAATGATTAGGTGATTAAACTTGATCTCTTATTGACAATATAAAAGTCAATTTAAGCTTCATTTCGTTTGAAAAAATGTGTTAGGTTTGCTAACTTTTTAGACTTTGTGTTAAACAACACTTTTAACAAAACGAATCCTTACAAGCCTAGGCTTGGCCTTTGTAATCTCGAAGGTTTAGAAGTAGAAGTAGAAGAGTTTACTACTAGAGTCTAGAGTCCAGGCCAATTTTATTTAATCTCTTGAATGTACTGGATAACAGAAATCTGCAACCTGCCACTAGATTACAACTCTAGATCTAGATCTAGATTCGAGATTTTAGTAAAGGCAGAGTTCAGGGAAAAACTTCAAGAAATTCTCGTGGTGATGAGTAAAGAGAGACCAAAACAATCTCAATAAATAATATATCGTGACTGTCACGGCACATCACTTCACCTATACATGTTCCGGTAACTACCTATAAATAGATGGAAGTTTGACCCGTGTCAAAGGTTGGGAAGTAGCTGACGATTCGGGAGGTGGCTGCGGGTTGACGAAAGGGAAAAGCGCGTAGGCGACATCACCTCCTTTAATCTCACGTATCTCGACTTTTGTTCAAGACAGACGATTTTTCTCCCCCACAAGCAAGATAAATGAGTAAGCTTTAAGTTGATACCAATAACTACATATTTTAAAATAAAATGACTCACACCTAATTGCACCAAGTCATGCCACGTATGATTTTCACTTATCTGTTAGAATCGGGTGTAACTTCGAAGTGGACCTCTGCGGTTGGACTCAAAACACTGACGACGATTATGATTGGCGCAGAAACAGTGGGCCTACACCATCGTTTTCAACAGGGCCGTCAGGTGACCACACACTAGGCTCCGCATGTGAGTTCCTGTTGCTGTAGATGTTGTTATTTTGTTGTTGCTGCTGTTGTTGTTGCTGCTGTTGTTGTTCTCTTATTCCCCCTCCTCCTCTTCCTCCCATTTCCCCTCTTTTTCTTCCTTCTCCCCCTCATCCCTTACTCCTCTTGCTCATACCCTCTCCTCCCTCCCCTTCTCTTCCCTCTTATTCCTCATCCTCCTCCCTTATCCTCCTTTTCTTTCTTCTCTCCTCCTTATACTCCTCCCCTCTTCTTCTTTCTCTCCTTCTCCTCCTCCTCCTCCTCCTCCTCCTCCTCCTCCTCCTCCTCCTCCTCCTCCTCCTCCTCCTCCTCCTCTTCTTCTTCTTCTTCTTCTTCTTCTTCTTCTTCTTCTTCTTCTTCTTCTTCGTGGATGATTCCGCTCATCAAGGCATTATAACAACAAATGAGAAAGAATACAGGGACGCTGTAAATGTGTTTTACAAATTAGTCTGATAACCACGTCTTTTTACTAAATCTAAAAATGACAAAGGAATTAATAATAAACTTTAGAGTAAAAAAAAAGATCAATTGCACCCACTGTTTATCAAAAGGAGGTGGAGGTTGTAAAGTCCTAAAAATATCATATCTTGGAATAGCCTCTGATACCAAGCTTGACTGCCATCCCCACGCTGCTCTTGTGCATATAAAATAAATCAAAGAATGTATATTTTTAGGAAATTAATAAGTGGGTGTCCAGGTCAACAACCAGAGGCTTGAGACCGTACGCAGCTTCAAATACCTGGGTGCAATAGTGATAGACAAAGGATCAAAACCTGAAATAATCACCAGAATAGCGCAAACTTCAGCAGCAATGACCAAGTTGAAAACCATCTGGAACGACAGAAATATCACCCTCAGATCAAAGATCAGACTGATGCGTTCTCAGGTCATGTCAGTATTTTTGTATGTATGTGAATCCTGGAACTTGAATGCAGACCTTGAAAGAAGGATCAAAGCTATGCAGATGAGATGCTTCCAAAAAATCCTTGGTATCTCATACAAAGATCACATCACTCACGATGAAGTCAAACTACGGATCAAAAATGAAATTGGACCATATGCTGACATTCTCACCCTGGTCAGGAAACGCATTGGTATGGACCCACCACGGCCTTGTAGAAAACATGCGGATAACTTGAGAACGAGAGATCATGATACTAATATTAATAATGAGAAGAAGAAGAAGAAGAAGAAGAAGAAGAAGAAGAAGAAGAAGAAGAAGAAGAAACACAGTCATAACAACAATATCAAGAACAATGATACTAACAATAGAATTTATTTGAGTAAAACAATGAAATAATATTGAAATAAAGTCAAAATGTCTAATAGGACACAACTTGGAATTCGCTGATTGTATGGGATCAGATATGTTGTTTGAATACGTTAAATTAGATAATTCAATCCATACAATTTGAAGTTATATCTTCAGATCACCATCCTTTTTTTCCAAGTGGAAAACAGATGTCTATTCTCATTTTGTGTTTGATCATTCTATTGAGTTACATCTGTAAGACCAATCTCCTCGTGGTTGTTGAAATATGATGTATAAACTAAATTATAGGTTTTTTTTCCTTTTTGTAGACGGTCACACCCCTTTACCGACATCCTCTTGTGTAAGGAGTGGAAAGAAAGTTGTAGAGACCAATGTTTTTAATCACTTTCAATTTGCAAAGTTGCTCGCATGTTGTTTTTTTCGACATCATTTCCTCCTTACTTGAATGAAATGGATTGTGATATATATATATATATATATATATATATATATATATATATATATATATATATATATATATATATATATTCATATACTTCATTCGGATAGAGAGATAGAGGGAGGGGGAAATGTAAAATATCGTTTTTATATAGTAATAGTAATAGTTAAAAATAATAGTCATGATAACGATGATAGTAATAACGATAGCCATAACGACGATGGTAATAATAAAAAATACAACAATAACAATAGTAATAATAAAAACAACGATGAATACAATGATACTACTACTACCAATAATATTGATAATAACAACAACAACAACAATTATAATAATAATAATAATAATAATAATAAATAATAATAACAATAATAACTATAATAATAACTATAAATAATAATAACTATAATAATAATAATAATGATAATAGTAATAATAATAATAATAATAATAATAATAATAATAATAATAATAATAATAATAATAATAATAATAATAATAATAATACTAATATTAATAATACAGTATAAGTAAACAAAGTATACAAATTTTATGAAGGTGATAGCTACGCTAGGTCGAGAGTGTCGCTGGTGGCCTGCAAGTGCAACTAATGCGGACATTGTGGGTATCCTTGGTGAAAATTCAGTGATGGGTGATGTTGTCGTCTTCACCGCACGGATCAGTGAGGCGTGGCCAGAAATCTGGGTGGGCGTTCAGTGCTCCAGTTGACGGGAAGATAATTAAAGAACAGTCTGGAGCCTACGAGTGTACTACGTCGAGCATGGCAATAGAGGTCAAGGCAATAACAGAGGCGCTGGAATGGATCAGTATGGAAGCGTATAGACATGCCCTGTTTGTCACAGATTCGATGAGCACCCTAGAAAAAATCAAGAGTGGGTGGCTCTACAATGACTGGAGAGCTTCCATTGCAAATAGCCACCTCCTAAGAATGACATGGGTGTTTTGCCCTGGTCACGCCGGGGTGCACGGAAATGAGCGTGCTGATGAACTTGCCGGCAAAGCAGCACCCAATGGCCGAATCATGCTCGACCCACCAATGGTGATCGCCAGATGCAAGGAGAGTCTTCACAACCAAGAGGAGACAGACTCCCACACACTCAGCACAATAAAAGAAAAGTGTGTCCGGGGCACAGCGAAAAAAAGTTTGCTCCGAAGCGTGGTCAGGCGTGTCTCAAACCAGCTCCTTATGGAGACAATTAGCAGGAAGACCCCGAGGTGGACGCTGGAAAGGAGAGATGAGCAGCTATGGACATGTGCCGCCTGCTATGATTCTAGCTCTGGATCCAAGTAAATCCAAGTAAGTAAACAAATAAACATGAAGAACAACTACCCCCTTTCCACACAAATTGTAAGATCACGCAGCGGCAGATACGTACCTCCAAGAACAAAGAAAGAAAGATACAAAAGAAGTTTTTTAAAATTCTAGTATGAGGCTACTGTCAGAATAAACATCATTGTGTATTGTAGTTTCGAATATACATATACAGTATTAAAAAATGTATCTATAACTCTAAAGGTTTTGTGATAAATTCCTGCATGAGGTCAAAAGATGCATCTGATGTGATATGAACATTATTGCGTTTCACTTTTCTTTTCATTTTCAATTTAATGTGGTTAATTATCATCATTATAATTAGCTTGTTTTTTTTGGTCTATTTTATTTTCGACAGCTGGGGCGTATATCTACACTGAAGCCTCTTTTGGGATTGCAGGGGAAACAGCTAAGCTGACAAGCGACAGGGTTACTCTCAGGTAGGCTTACATTATCTAATATAATAATAATAGGTAGCATTTGTATAGCGCATATCCCCGCTCAACAGCAGGCTCTGTGCGCTTTACACTATATTATTACCCCAGCAGACCATAGAACACTCCGAAACATTTTCAGCTTCCCGGGAAGCATACAATGCAAGCAGCTGATTTAGCGCTCTAACACTAACAAACTGACAAGATCTTTCGCTGTCTATAGCTGGGTACCTATTCCCACCTGGGTGAAGTGAGGAAAATTCGTGTAAAGTGCCTTTCCCAAGGACACAACGTCGGGCCCTTGACGGGATTCGAACCCACGACCTTACGGTTGCGAGTCCGAGAGCCTAACCACTAGGTGTTCTTTTCTTGTCCTCTTCCTCCTCCTCCTCCTCCTCCTCCTCCTCCTTCTTCTTCTTCTTCTTCTTCTTCTTCTTCTTCTTCTTC